TCTCTCTTGTGAACTGGTTTATCTACCAGGACGACAAAAAGCCCTTCTTGCACTTTCCGTTAGGTGCGTCGGCAAGCGCTCGTCACAACTGGCAAGAATAATTCTGCGCACCAACATGGCGGGGGCGTCTTCACTCTGAAGAGTGGTAATTCAATGGCTCCAGGAAGCACCCTTACGAAACCCAACCAAAGAAGGATTATCTCTTGGAGACGAACAACCTGGTTAGTCGGGTTCGCTTCAAGTGGAACGGAAGACGCGCTAAATGAGGCCACGGAGTAGCCCAGTGAAGTCAAATTGGGAACAAAAACTTTGTAACTTGACGCATACGATATGAACAACAAAATTACATCATAACGACGTTGCCCAATCAAGAAGTGAAGGATCATTCGTGTTTCCACTATCAGCTATCATTTCACGATGTTTTTTTTTTTTAAATAATGAACATTTAGCCCTCTTCCTTAGCTGTCGACGCTAAGGGAGAGGGGGGTCTGGCTCCTCCAGCTTGCCCTTTAAGTCATTCAGCAGAAGAAAACGTAAGAACGGCCCTAGCGACGAAGTACTACCAGGGAACCTTGATTCGATGCGGCCTAGAGGTTGTTCCAATGCATGTCAAGAAATGGAAACCCAGCTGACACGATAGAACTCGACGTTGGAATGGTACCTCATCAGTCTTCTTCCTGCGCTGCATCAGAATATGGAAGGGGGATTCCTGGTCTCGTTGTAGCTCCTCCAGCTACGACTAGACCTGACGCGAGATAATACCCAGTCGTGATTTGTATAATTTGAAGAACCAGTCTCGGGCCTGCAATCTTCCAGTAGGTGCTCTAATGAGGTCGCGTGGGGTCAGTCGCAAGCGCACTGCCCGACCTTATACATCTCGCGGCCCGCTTCGGACTAGGACAGCCTCTAATTAAATCTATACGTCCAGGCTCTTAGCTGTATAGCGGGTCGTAAATTATGAACAGTCACGTGGTAGAGGAATGGCGCCGGTTCGCCTTTGACAACTTGGCACGTACCCTTCTTGGGTCGCGGGTATTGATCGTGTCGGCTGCTTAGCCGGACAGTCCTGCTGCTTCAAGGCTGACTTGGATTTTATGCTTCCGATTATCTTATTCCCACTTTTTTTTTTTGTTGGTGGTACCAGGCTATAGAGTCCAACAGAGTGACTACTAAGTGTGTCCCAATTAGAACGGAAACCGGAAACATTTTGGAATCTTGAGAGTAGCCATTACTAATACTATAAGGTTTCCTGGAGGATTTTGAGAAGTTATTTCTGCCATCTTTACCTACACACGCACTTTGTTTGAATATGCCCCAAATTGCTTTTGTATGTGAGCATATCGAGCCCTGTAGTGTTTCCAATCACAAGCCATTTCTTACTTCTTACCCCCTCCCCATTCATTTCTTACTTTTGTAAGTGACCTTTGGTTGCTCCCCTTCGGCAGTCTTTTAACCGCTTGTTGATGAGGATGAAAAGACCTCGTTTCTATGTCGCGCTCTTTTTACCTTAATCTTGTTTATGCCACATACACCACGGTTTTGCATTGCCGTACAAGTAACGCAGCTGAGAATTAAGTAAAAGTATACGTCTCAAGGTTGGTGATCCTACTCTAGTTGCTAAATATCTCATCCACAACGTAAACTGGTGTCGCCGTATCAAGGACACAGACTGACTAATAGCATAAATAGCGTGAAGTACAAACAAGGATATGGACACGAAGACTGATAGCTATCATTCCTACGCCAAATGAGCATGTCTTCGCGTCCAATTTATGTTTATTACACTCAACCAACTACGTCATCTTAACATTCTAGGACAGACTAACCTCTCGCTGTATAAAAATGCAACGTATAATTTGATTTTTCCCCTTCTTTCGGCCGTGCTATTGGACCTCAAGGCGTACCCGTTTATAAATTGGGGATGCGCCAGCTTGAAGTACCGAAAAAGGACATATAAAGGACGGGACAATAGATAACAGCTGACTAACCGAAAACACCTATAAGGTTTAAATAACATTTATAGACGCTTTACAGCAGCTGTGCATGGGCGCCGCCATAACCGCCCTTCAGTTTTTGTTTTCGGTTATATTTTTCACTCTGCCCCTTCATTACCACAGGAGGACAGGTTACTGGCATATTAGATACGACGGTGTCTTTTCCCCCAGGATTTGCCTTTGTGGAGGCTCGCCAAAGCCCGCTTCAGTGGTTTGATATCTCGGTAAGACAATAGAAGGTCGGCAATGGCGTCTGTAATCTGGCGCGTGTGTAAAGCGTCTGTACAAGGAAATTGTAATATTTATCCTTACCCACTCTTCCTATGAGTTATCTGGGCATTGCACACCGCAAATGCTATTTTTCTTTGGTGTGGACAATGATGTACGAGGCGCTAACACATTATTCCCCGTTAAACACTTGACGAAAAACCTTGAGACTGGAACGAGAAGGGGCGGACAAACATAAAGTTGAGTCTTCGTGTTTGGCCGTCCCTTCTCATTCCAGTCTCAGGGTTTTTAGTCAAATGTTTAACCACCACCAGGTCGTTTGCGCCCTAACCTTTTGTTCACTTATTTCCGTGTTCTTCGATGTTCAGTGCCTCGAGAACCTCACGTGCAGAATCAGTCTTATTTGCTGCCATAATGATGAGGTTGCTGTATGCTGCATTGCATTTGCATCTCTTACAATGAGCTGGAAATTTGTCTCCTGCTGTGTCCTTCACAGATGCCGCATGTTCTCTAATTATGTCATTTATGTAACGGCCTGCTTTGCCAATGTAACATTTTCCGCACGAAAAGAGAATGTGATGAACAACCCCTGGTTGGCCCTTGTCATATCTTGTTCTGTGGGAACTGCCGTGTGTTTTCCTTGGTTTGTTGGCTGGTTACCTCAACTGCACATAGACTATGCTTTGTTTGGTGCTGAGCAAAGTACTTGAATGTTCTGTCTTCTGGCGATATTTTTTTTATCTTGTGGGTAATCCTGTCGATGTATGGTATAGTGATGTGAACACAAGAAAAAGAACATCGTTATACCATACATTCACGGGATTACCCACAAGATAAAAAAAGATCGCCAAAAGACAGAATATGAAAGTAGATTTCTTAGTACCAAACAAAGCATACTCTATGAGCTGAAGTGTTAACCAGCCAACAAACCAAAGGAAAACATGCGACACACCACACAGAACAAGATATGACCAGTGCCAAACAGGAGTTGTTCATCGCATTCCTCTTTCGTGGGTAAATGTCACATTGGTCGAACAGGCTGTTGCAGAAACGACAGAATTAGAGAGCATGCAGCATCTTTGAAAGGCACAGCAGCAGGCCATTCACCAGCTCATTGTAAGGCATGCAAATGCAGTGCAGCATTCAGCAACATCACAACATCACCATTCTGGCAACAAGCAAGAATACTTTTGCACGTGAGATGCTCGAGGCAGTGGCCATCGAAGAACACAAGGAAGAATGTGTTAGCAACTCGTCCATTACTATCCGCACCAAAGAAAAGCAGTAGTTGTGGTGTGCAACGCCCAGATAACTTATCCATTACAATCCACAGCAATATTTACGGTTTGCTGCGCCTTGGTAACTCGTAGAAAGAGCGGGTAACGGTAAATTTAATAACTTTCTTGTGCATATATTTTTTAAACTAATAGTTATTTTGTGTATATATGAACAGCTTGTAAAATATACGATTGCGCAAACAAAGAAGGAATGTACTAAAGCAAAGTTCTTATTCAGCTGTTGTCTATTATCCCGTCCTTTCTACGTCTGTATCTGTAAGTTCAAGCTGATGCATCACTAATATGTACTACTTAGCTAAACTTAAGCTTGTTATCAATTGGGAACCAGGAGAAAGCTCTCAATTAATATTTAATTAATGACTCGAGGAGCTGTATTGCGGGGATAGTTAGAGTCCTTATTTTTGAACCGGAATTTACTGGGAAGACAACGCAAGAGAAAATGTTTACCGAAAGTTTCCATCACGAATTACTTGTTTCTCCCGTGTTCGTAGCCGCGTTCTTTTTCCCGTCGACGGAACCAAATGAAATATGTTCAGTCCCGCCGAACCAAAACTTTGAGGAGCAGGGGCCTTGAAAAGTTGTCCTCCGACCTCGTTGAAAGATGCGGGGCAGATCTGAGCTCATAAATATAGCAGCTGCCCCTTTGGCACGGTTTGAAAGGTTCGCGTACAATTCGCAGGCTGTGTACACCATTGGAATGGCTACGACCTTATTACGAATGTCGGGCGTATTACCAGCGGCGCCGAGCCCTCTCATCGCACATTCTAGTGACGTCGCCAGTAAACCAAAATAATATAAAGTGCCTGAAAACAATGAGGAAATCGCCGCAAAGAATCGCCTCTTCTAAGAACTAGATCCTATTTGGCGCAACCTCGTGTCATTTCCCAATATACGTGTTCCTCTGAGAGAAGAGAGGCCCGTATTATTCTCCAAAGAATAGGAACTGTGAAATAGGCGAGCGACCGCACTATTTTCCCACCGAATTTATTGGAAGTTTAAAGCCCCCCCCCCCCCCCCCTCGAAATGGGATTACTTTCGTGGACATTAAGCTTGCGAAATTGTAAACCTAGAAAAGGTCTCGAATCCCGTAAGTTATAGGAGTCCCAACTGCACATTAAAATAATAACAAGTCAAGGTTGATATTGGCGTTCGTTATCGGACGTCTGTCCCCATTAGCCGAGGTCCGGGAGACGTCGGACTCTGCGCATTCAGGGTAGCCCATTAATTGAGATGTCGCCCGCCCTGGCTGCTTATTCTTTAGACAACGCTCAAGATCACAATGAGGACTTGGTAAACGCCCAGTCTTCGCTCGGAGAATCTAAGCTAACTGTCCACTTGGCGACCCCACCGCTTGACCCCGTAACGGCTGCTAGTGCCCAAGTGCGGTGCTCTTGTTTAGACTTACGCAAAGCCACCGAAAGATTAATGAGAGGAGGCCATGAAAGAAAGAGCTGAGAGGGAGGAGAGCGGCTTTCACAACTCACCCGGCGTGCGAGGCGCTACCTCCCTCAGTCGCCACGCTCGACCCCGTGATCCCGCGCTGCTCCGATTTGCTCCTTGGTGCCACGAAGACGCAGGCTGTGCTCTGGAAAGTCCGGTTGTCATTCTCGAAGATTTCGTGGTCTCTATCAAAGGGACTGACGTTGCGCATAGAGTCGTCTTGACTGTAGCCTTGATGGGGCGAAATCGCAACGAGGCGGTCGCCGCGAAAAGGACTTGCAGGTTCTGGTGAAGAGGGGCTTGCCGGGTGTTTCTGGTTACAGACAAAATCGCGGTTGTTTCGGCTGCTTATGTTCGGGTTTTCGTGACGATTGACAGAGACTACAGTCGAGCTGGAATACTGTTGAGTCGTTGTTACGCGGGCAAAGGAAATAAGTTCGCCGATTGTTTCTGCGGGTTGTAGAACGGCATTGTCATCAAATATGGGTTTATCGTCAAGTTCTTTCGTGCGCAAAAACGCCTCTTGAACGTCTAAGAGCGAAATTTCTTTTTCAATCGGCAGTCGCGAACTTATGCATCTTGGTGTCAGAGATGTAGGGGCAGATTCAAGCTGCAAAAGCTTATCCAATGCCATGGCCGCGGCTGCATGGAGGTCTCTGTTCCCGGGTTCTTCACGCTGAGGCTCCGCGCAGCCGTCCTGGTCGGAGCATTCCTCCTGCTCTTCGAGCGGAGACAAGGTTTCCGCTCTGGACTCTTGGTCTTCGTCTGAAGTTAAACGGCACTCTGTCTCGGGCTCGCTCGACAAGTCTCCATTGACGGGGTGCTGCGGCGACGAGGACAGGTCTTGAAACGATTCCGGTGGGGCTATTGCGGACGGCAGCCCTAAGACATCGCAGAGCGCGTCCTTTCCGTCGTTAAGGATGCCAGGATCGTCAACGAAATCGAGGTCCTGCTCGTCATCGTCGACGCAGGTCTCTTCCTGTCCATCCAACTCCCTCTCCAGCTGCTCAAACGGGCTCAGTACCTTCTCAAGGTCAAATGTGTGCAGGGGCCTATCGAGCGACTGCTGCCTGGTGTGTTCGGAGAAACTCGAGTTGGCCGTGCTCGCCCTGGAAAACTTCTCGATGACGGTGGACACAGAGCTACCGGTGTCATCCGATTCGCATTCGAGCAGCTTCTTTTCTTCCTCTGCGAGGAGGTCGACATAGAGGTCCGGTTGCACGGGCCGGTCCCCCTTGTCGCCCCCTCCACCCCTCTTTCTCATCAGCTCTTCCCATCCGGGCAGCCTCATGCTGACCGACATGCCGGGGAACGGTGTCGCCGGCTGCTCCTCCGAGCAACTCGACTTGGGCCGGCGCGGTGGAAGAGGCGGGGGGATGGACGGCCTCTTGAGCGACGGTGTCCTCTCCAAGCCACTGGCGTGCTTCTCAAACAGTTCGACGTGTTGTCGGACGCTCGTCGTCGGCGTCAGTGGGAGTTCGTTCACGACGGCGGCACCGATGGACGACTTCCTCGGCGGGATTGGCGGGGGCGGGTTCTTCCGGGGTCTCCCAGCAGCGTCAGCCTGGTGCCGCAGCAAGAGCTTGATGCATACCGGGGAGTCCCTCAGCAGGGTCACACAGTCCAGGCGGGTCATCGAGGTCACGGCACTGTCACTGATTTCGAGGATCTCGTCGCCTTCCTTGATGGGCGAAAGCTTCCACTGGGCCCGCGAAGCCGGGCTCTCCGGCGTGATGGACTGGATGAAGACGCGGGAGACATTGTCGCCCGCTGTGGTTCCGCCGACGAACTTGAGTGCCATGCCGAGTCGTTCTCCCGGAAGGCGGTATACCAGGACTTCCTCAACGCCGCTGGAAGCCTCGTTCACCTCGAGTACCGTCACGAAGTTGTCGGGTTCGGGCTGCGGCCCTCCGGGGTCCTCGACGGACACGACTGTCACGAAGTCTTTCGGGCCCGGCGACGAAGGCTTTAAAAGGGCCGGCGGTGGACTCTGGTCTCCGGGGTTGCATCCTTCCGCCAGCGGATCGCACAGGTCGGCGTCCTTATACACGTCCATGACGATCACCTTCTTGGATGCCATCAACGAACGGCCCGCGTCTGGACAATCTGTTTCTTGCTTACATTGTGCCGTGTCACGTACCCGGCATCGCCGCCTAGATTTGGTCCATGCTTGTCACCTGTAACAATAAGGTACAATACAGTTTTTCAAAACACAAACTTAGCAACAAAAGAAAAAAAAAAGAAAGCTCCAGGCTTGAATTTAAAAAAATGGCTATATGCAGTCGAATTCGCAATAGTGTTACCGATATCTAGTCGGCACCACTGAACAGGTCTGAATTACGAGAAAGCATATATCTCCATACGAGAGGTGCGTCGGAGCACCCTTGTAGCAGAGGAGAAAGCTGTTACGTTTGCGGAAACTGTAACCTGGTTGCGGTTATTAGTGGGAACGGTAATGACACGGCGACCGTAGCGTCAAAATGTTGCCAAAATATTAGGCAGCTAATGGCCGGTTGCCGAAAGATTCCAGAGATTACCGCTTCAAGCACAACCTAAGACACGTACCATACGGGCAACCCTTACTAAATTACTTAATTAGCGTTCAAAGGTTCGTTGAAATAAAGCGTGTTACTCATTGTAAAGTCCCAATAGGAACGCGTTACTTTATCAAAAAAAAAAAATAAAGCCTTACTTCATTTATTCGACCCTTAAAGGCCCAATGGGCATTACATAAGGGGGGGGGGGGGGGGGGGGCAAGGAATGTAAAATCGAAAATACAGCACACCGCACCGAAGCGAAAAACAAACAAAAAAACATCAATTATACATTTGTACACGCTATAAAAATAGCAGGGAAGTTGTTTGTTTTAACCAATCAGTGAAATGTCAACCGAACAGATCAATATAATTTTGTTTGGTCAACACTTAGGAACAGCTGAATGGAGTTAACATGACCAGAAATAGGTGAGGGTGTACTGTTCATTTGCGGATGCCAGTCCTGGCTTTACTTTTTGGTGATTTTGGATAGTGACTAAAACTTTCAGCGTGCGTCGCAGTGAAGGGACGGTGGCAGTTGTTCAAGTTCTCCTTAGGAAGTGACTAAACATCATTGCATGTTACTCAAAGAGGAACTGAAATTCCTTACTCGTTCGTGTCGGTAAAAAGGTAACGAAGTCGTGACTTCGTTACCCTCCCTAGAAAAAAATAAAAATATTGAGTAACAATCAACGCGTTACGAGTCTGGTACTACACGCCGCGATGCCACGATGCCATTTGGACGGCGTGACGTCTCCGATAGCCTCCAATGATCCTGGGGGGAGGACGAGAAGCCGTGCAGGGCCCCTTCCGCACGCGAACCAAGGCAATGATTCGGAACGCTTCGGACACCGACCTCTGGGCGCCTGCCAAATTGCTCCCGATGGGAGGCTTGCCCGAAATAACGATGACCTTGCGATGACCTTGCAGCAGGGCCCCAGCCGAAGAGAGAACGGACCACGCGACGAATTCTCCTTCTCCGCGGCGTCAGATGCCCTCGACTCTCTTTCCTGGGGCACGTCCCGACTCTACCAGGCCAACTCCGGCCGAGATGCATCAGGAGGATGAGTGAGGGAGGAGGAGGGAGGTCTGCGTTCTCACTAAATCCGGGCCCTGCCAGAACAAATTACCGATGAGGAAGCGGGGAAGGAGGAACAGGAGGATGATGGAGGAGAGTCGGGGGTGTTTCGGGTAGGGAGGATGTGAAGTTGACCAGGCCGGAGATTCGATACGAAGCGTCCGAGTTTTACTTTTCACCTGCTGTCTGTTGCGTCTGCGCGTCCTCGGAAGTTGGATTATGAGGACTTTACATAATTCTTAGAGGAACCTGGGGGCCGCTGATGCGATTGGGGATGTACTTCGGCAATTTTGTGCGAAGCTCCTTTGCGAGTGGGGACTTATTCTAATCGGCAACGATTGAGCAGATCGATGATGCTATAACCGAGTCTGCTGCTCTGCTGTTTGTACTCTGGTACAAATTAACTCAAAGATTTCACGACGTTCATTAAGATTCCCGTTCTTAGCAGGCGACAAATGAGATCCTGTTTTGAACATGTGCTATGATGAACGCGCTAGAATATGTCTAATGAATGCATCTTTATGTTTTCTACTTTGTTAATGAGATTGTTATTTTATAACCTAACTTCCCTATTGTTTGCAAACAAATGATCCCCAAATCTGTAAACTTGTTTCCAAACAACTATATAGTAGGATTCGATGCATGTTGAAAAGTACCTCAACGCGCAGTGAATAAGATTTTTTCTTAGGCACTAAACTGCATAAGTTAAATGACAAAAAGCGCGAATTTTAACAGTAATCATGTCACACTCTGTACTGTCTTTGTAGAATAATTTCGGCAGCAATTTTGTTCCACATATGCTGTGAATCACACAATTTTGCGACACTCAGCTCAATGCTTTACCGTCAAGGATTACTGGGTGCACTGTGCTACTATCATCGATCATTAACAGTCGGAACAACAAGAGCAGAAGTAAAGCTTGGAACAAATCAAATCAGGAATCGGGCCACATGGACCGCCCAGACCTCGGCATATCAAACAGGAATGGCCCCGCCCGTTAGAAAGAGACGATGCCAGTTGTGACAGCCACGGAATCTCTGGGCGAAGAGCTTTGGCTGCGTGACAGTACACCGTCCGCTATCGGGGCGGAGGTTGCCAGATCTTTTAATGTCAGGGCTTGGAATTGGGTCTTCCAGGGCGGCTTAGCGGCACGGAGCACGCGTATCGTTCGCTGATCTAGGAGGTTGTATTTAGAGTAAGCCGGTCATCATAAAGCAACCCACCCATTGTCAAAAAAAAAAAAAAAAAAAACAGGAGACGAGGCCGTGCTTGTCTGTCCAGGGATAAAGAATCAATGGCACGTACATCTGACAGCAATATGAGCTCAAACAGCCGGGTGCTAGCCGAAGAGGATGAAATACCGCATGGCCTGCCTCCATAATTCTGGGGCCATGAAACGTACTGCCACACTGCAACGACAGGAAACGTACCAGTCCACTTCGCTTATTTTAACAACTTAACCCAGCCGGAGCTCCCATTGTGCCATTTCTACCGCTCCGGCCTGAACGCCACTGTACCATCTCAGATTACCGCACTTGGTACCTTTATTGCAGGAAGACTTTACAAATACTTCACTATAGTCCCTTATAGCTTAAGAGACACAGGACGCGACGTGATGTTCATGCTTCTTGCTTCATGATTTTTTCGTCAATCTTATCTGCTGAAGCCGTACTATTATTGATTGCGGGGTGATAATAAGATGCTCGCGAATCCCCAACGCCCTCCTGTTGTCGGAGACAAGGGGGGTGATAATGTACACTTGCCTGGGTTTGTGAAAGACGGAACGATTCCCGATTTCAACGGCGTGCATCTGATCCTCGTTGCTCTCCCCGCTCCCCTGCTGCACATTGTTGCCGCTAGGCGGCGCCAGTTTTTGCTTCACGTGCGCTCTCCAAGGCGCGTGCAGAAGCAGCACCTCCTAGACAGCTTTAAAGCCTGTGCATAACGTCAGATGACGTCACGTCCGGGAGGCCGGCACGGGCGCTGATTGGATACGAGTGCCGCGTCAGCGTTCGCGAGGGACTTGTTTCCGATCATAGTCACACGCGAACGCTGAGGCGGCACTCGCATCGCATGCAATCAGCACCCATGCCGGCCTCCCGGACGTCACGTCATGTGACGTAACGTCCGGGAGGCCGGACGTTACCTCACATGACAAAGCTGTCCAGGAGGTCCGGGAGCACCTCCTAGACAGCTTTAAAGCTCTCTGGGAAGTGCTGGCAGAAGTGCTACGAACCCAGGAGTGCCATGGGCGCCACGACCACACAATAGTGTCTATCAGCAGCGTATCGAGTGTGTGTTGAAGCAGATGAAACGCTCGAACATGTACTGTTGTTTTCCGTCGGACTGCAACCGGCACCATGAGCGGAGTGCAAGCAGGCAGCCCGAAAGCGCTCTCTGGCGGGGGCGCTGGGCTCTGAGCCTGTTCTGGAGCCTGTGTCATCTGCACGCAAAAACAACGTCAACGGTGCTGACCCTATGCCGAAGGTTAACGGAGGGTGGAGGGAGGGTGTGGTGGAAGACACCAAGAGACGACTAGAAAATCGGTGACTAAGGATTTAAAAAAGGGGCCACGTAAGCCCCACAAGCTACGCCGCAGACACCGTGGGACCGCCCGATTTAAAGAGAAGTGCAAATAATCATTTTCATTATCATAATCATCATCGTCATCATCATCACCATCATCATCATTGTGTGGATACGTGGTAGATCCCGCCTTCTCCCCTTCACTTCATTTCCGATAGGTGGCGTCGCCCCGTCTGGAGTCGACAACTAGCTGGATTCTTGAAAGATAGATGACGCTAGCTTCCGCGTATGAGGCTAGAGAGCCCAGATTGAAGAGGGGGCCCATCTCAAACCATGGGGAGCGTTTGCAATGTAATGGCGGACGCCTCCTGCGAAGATTGGAGTCAAGTGCGCATGCGCTGCGTTTTGCCGTGGCGAAGAGGAAAGCAGGCGGGAAGGCGGGGGCTCTCGCAGACGACCAAGGCTTTCGGCACCTCATGGCGGCTCGCATTGCGAACGTGGCCCATAAAAACCACGAAACCCGTTCGTGCTGGTGGTCTGTCTCTGTAATAGGGGCTCTCCATATGAAGCCCTCTTGCTCAAGCAGTGCGTCATATTTGGCGTGAGTGGACATTAAGTATCTTGAATCCTCAGTAGTCTCCTCCGAATACAAAAGCTTTATTATATGCGTGTCTTTTCCGCAGAGCGCTCTGATCACGGCGTCCGCTAGTGCCATCTCTCGGCGGTGTAATCGGGGAGGAAAATGGTTGCCGCTTGAGCGTATCTTGTATTAGTGTAGGGTGACCAGTACTGACACTACGCCCTGCGTTTCTTAAGATCTCAGTGAACATTTTCAAGCAACCCGAGACTGGGGAATTACGAAACCAAGAGAAGATGACCAGTATACACCAGCTCCCTCGCGCCCTTACGTTGTAATAGTTAATTGTCAGTGACTATGTAGTA